TTGATCAGTCCCGTTTCTGGGATGCGCCCACACATTCCTCTTCCACCCCGAATGTCAGAGGCGTTTTGATTACTGGTATGGTCTATACAATGGCAACAGATGTACAAGCCAGTGTGCTTTACACTCCCAGGCGTCTCCGGTACCAGTCAACCGGATCATGGGAGCTCCACGGTTGAACTCGGTGGGTATCGATGCCCAGAACATCCTCTTTATATTCTCAGAATAATATTAGCTCATTTTTTGCTTTTTAACTTCAATTATGCCTATTTATTGCCCGAGTTTCTTAGCTCGGTTATATCTCCAGCCTACCATATACCTTCCCCACCCTATTCCCACCCCGCGCTTCCCCTTCCAAGCCCTTTTCCACTAACCCCAAACCCGTAGTGAGTTCCGCGGGGAAAGAGGAAACGGTAATTCGTCTGTGATAAGGCGGAATCATTTCCATTTTCTTCGAATATTTTCCACCATCAAAAGAAAACCTTCAAATAACTTTCTCATAATATGTCATTGTTTTAAGAATACTGCCGTTTTTACCACTACCCAAACAATTCATTTCACCATTCTTATCAAAATCCGAAGCATATGATTCAGGAAAAAATGCCCAGAACCCTCACTTCCTTCATTCCTGACTGTCTAATATTCACTCCGTGATAAAAAGGACAATTTAGTAAAATGTGCGGGGCATTTTCAGGACAGATGTAGTACACTGCTTTATTGAAGCTCTCGGTCCATTCGTTAAGAACATCATTCCATCGTCAACTGAAGCTACAACGCTGCGAACAAATAAAAAGGTATTGACGCAACTGCTTAATCTAAAGTCTGGAATGAACTTTTTAATTAAGCAGGGTAAAGGACATTCGATTCGCCTCAACTGAACCGACCTCCCAAGGTTTACATGTGATCTAGGTGGTTTATACTTCATAGGGTTTAGGAGGACCCTAGCAAGATCCTGGTAGCGTCCCCGACTGCACGGTGACCGACGAAAATCCCTTCCCGGCGACGGCATTCACTTTTTGAAAGGTCGCTGTAACAGTTTTGCGGAGAATCTAGCCGGATGCGACCATGTGACTGAAAAGAATTCAGGTCGAGTCGGGCATCGGACGTTCCCCTCTTGACGTGGTCACATGAGTGTATTGAAGAATTTTCGCGAGCTACTTTTCTGGTTAAACTGAAAATGGCAGTTGAGAGATCACGCCGATCATGTGTGCTGGATCGCTCTTAGAGATAATTCGCGACAGCGGGTGTCCTTTTTGACAGCGACGAAACATCGTGCAACCATCGTCGGGCAACCTTGGAATCGGATCCATCCATCCCCGACGCCAGCAATAAATTTCATATCATATCGACGACGTTCAACCATTTGACCGTTTCCGTTCATTGATGAGGATCTTTGTGGTAAGAGTTTGGGGAAAAGAAATCGTCCGTCCGGTGGGTACACAAAAATCCTCGACCGGGTGCCGATCAAACAGTACTTCACCACGACACTGCCAGTCACCGTTTACAGAGCAATGATTACCGGAACAGACCAAAAGCTGAACTCGACATTTGCTTGTAGAAAGGACAGCAGTTGGGTAAAAATAGCCTAAGAAACTCCAAGTCTATGTATAGTTGAAGGAGAACTGTAATCAAATAGAAAACCAAAAAAAGAACACTATGTGTATGAGGTTTTTGAAGCCAAAATAAAATTCTGGACGGAAATGCCCACACGTAAACCGGAAATCGAAATAGTTTTCTGCGTATAATGGCAATCTCAAGGATGGAACACTGTTGTAATCGCGATAACTAACAAATGGATTCCTTATGTGACATATATTCGCCAAAATGTTATCAAAAGTATTCAAGGAATGCAGCTCGATAGAAAAGATTGGTATTGTTCAATTTAGCAAGGATGAGCCGTGTATTTCGACGGATTCAAAAAATCTACGCTTGATTATCGCATGGGGATGAGGAACGAGGAATTAGACAAAAACGACGGTGTTATGACCATCCCAGTCGAATTGTGCAGGGCCCGTCGACATCGGGAGGGTAATGGCCTTCATAGCCTGAGCTGAAGGATGGAACTAGAAAGTAAATGTCGATTTTAGCCTCTGCACTTCTCATTCTGAGCCCTTGAGAGGGGATAAGTGAAAAGCTGACCACTTCGAGAGCACTTAGTGTCAAAAATAAAAAAAGCAATTACGTGGAAGTATCTAGGCTAAGGATATCCACGCTAGATATTCCCTTCCTTCCTAGGATATTGCTCTGCCACATAACGGCACCTCTTGACCATCCCAATGTCGCCTATTCCACCCCTTCAACAGTTTTACGACGCAATGCGGAGAAACTTATTGGCACACCGTTCCGACACTGTAACCCTGTTTCTTGGGACCGTTTTTACGATGTCCAATTGTCATACAGACTCTTTAAATACCTGTTTGCGTTTTCTGCTTGTCTGTGCACTCCTCTTGTTGCGAATCTTTCGTCGAATTCGTTTCAGATCACGTTCTTCGGCTTTTGTGAGTGGATAGAATTCGGGCAAAAGAATCGATTCCTTTTTACATAATCGTTTTTCCTCTTCGGTAAGAATCAGAGCAGGATATTTCCTTTGACGTTCACCTAAACCGTTCCAATAGTATGGGTAAGGAGATCTGGGAAGATTGCGGCATACCTGTAGTTCCTTTGATGATACCACCGCTTTGGCATGGTCCAAGGCTTGAAGATGAATTGGAGGAGTATGTGCTTGGGGAATTCAGAGAGATATTTGCTGGATTACGCAAAGCTGGCTCTAAAAATAGCCAAATAACAAATCAGGTCATGGTGGAACAAAAAACCGAAAATCACACGCACTTTCTCATGAAAATCAATCACAATACCCTCTCATCCCCAGTGGTACATAGAGATACTCAATGATCTATGACCATCGCACAGAGCATAGGCACTTGAGTAATTTCCATAAATAATGACGGGATTTGGAGGGATTATCCGAAGGTCGAATCGTTTGTGATCCTCTTATTACCCACGAGCCGCCACCGATCCCATCAGATCCTAAAGCTCTTCGAAACATAGCAACAAAGGCTATCGAGTAGGCCTAACGGTTGAGATCCCTTCAGATCTCAACAGTTCAGAGAGATTGGAGTTCAGGTAAGACCAGATCCCGGTACTCTTCTTGATCGAGCCTAGGCTGATGCCTTTCAGGGGATTCCCACCAGTTTTTGAGGCAACTTCTTGTCCTTCACCACCAGCCGTTCCCTCGGTCCTCTTCAACATTCTCAATCTTCCCTAATAACCGGACAGATCCCATCGAGTTAATCGCCATGTTTTATGCCAAATACCGCATCTTACTCAGTGACAGCCATGGGAGCCCCCTACAGCCTCAAAACCTCGTTGTAGTGGTTAGCTTCTGGATGAAAACGCAGTTAAAGTCAACAGAAGACGTTGCCAGGCTACAGCAATGATTTCATGAATGAATAAATTCCAGTAGGGACGGAAAGAGCCTCTCTTTGCCGGCGCTCCATGGCCCTCGTGAATCTCAGAACAGCATATTTCAACCCGTCCATTTTCAGCAAAAACCCACTTCCCGTCCAATAAGTCCCGTTTTCATTGGAACCGTATGTTTTCAACGACGTAACACTACATCGTTCCACTTCATAATCGCCGCTTTGCATACAAATTGATGTAGCTTCACAAAGAATGAATGCCGAGCCGCACTAATCCGAACTGGGCAATTGTTCAAACACCTCGCCTCCCAAGCGATCGATTAAATAACCAATAGGAACAGTTGATTGATGGGTCGACACTGAGAGCAGACTGGTTGACATTGTAATGTCTAATAGTTATGAAGGCAGTAAAATTAGCCGTTTGACAGCAATTCGTGGGTAGAACTCAGAAGAGAAAAGAGAAACGGAAAAAGGCTGAAGAGTAGCAGGCTGAAGCCTTCTGGGTTTTTTGAACTCAGTCACTTCTTGAAAGCTCCATTACCCCATCAACAATGGAATGTTACGAGCTTGCTTGAAACTGAGCGTAACAGGATCGCAGTAAGTAAAAACTCTTCCATCCAGTCCACTCCTCCCACCTGTTCCATACCTCTTTTTGAGCCAGATCTTCCAAAGTGCATCTTTAATAAGTGCTCTAAGAAGGGGACTTTTGGATTCAGATGAAGAAAGAATATCATCCTTCCTACTCAATTTCGTTCCCGACCCTCAATCTCCACACCGTCCTCAACCTAAATGTTTCCAGGCCCTGGCTGCAAGACCTATGTTCCACCTATCTACTTTTTTCCGCAACGAGTCCGAAGGGGCGTGGGATCACAAACGGGTCATGCCAACGTTTTGATGGGGTTCGACTGGTTTACGACAAAGCGCCTCATCAGGGGCTCAATAATGAAACCCGAAAGTAAAGAGAAGCTTATATGAAACCGAACTGGACACAGCACCTTCAACTGGCTCAGATACTGAATGGTCCTAGAAAATAAAAAAAATTAGTGTACCATCAATACCTAGACCCCTCAGAAGGTGGCAATGAGCAATCCGATCACTCACTTATTCTTTTTGTCTCAGTGTCCGCTGGGACATTCCCAAGACTTGTAGTCACTTTATCTGGAAACGGGCATTTCCTGTTACCTGTGGTATAAGCAGGATGAATCAGTGGCAGACTCTGAAGAACTGATTCCCCCGAACGTCTCAGACCCCATTCTACCCGTAGCTACCCTAATTTCTAACGACATTCGACTCATTAACAAAATGTGGTGGCGAGCGCCACTGAAAAACCCCCTTGCCGTCTAATCAATACCCCGCTGAGAACGTCATCTAACGGGGCATTCTGTCGTGTTTCACGAGCTTTGAATGACATCATCCGGAACCACCCACGTCATCCCCCTTCCCGGGATATATTAATGGCCTCGCCCAAATGAAAAAGCCATTTTATCGAAATACCAAGGAACGCACTAAATCTGACGACAGGCGTCTGTCGTTGTGCAACAGGACGAGTGGTAAGTGTTGGCGCTCGTTTTTGCTGACTGGAAACTGGCTGAAGACGATATGGAGTGAACTGTGTGCGTGCTGTACCGTGTATTGTGGAAGTTGGTGGCTGAAATAGATGCCTTGCGCAAAGCTTCGGAGTAAGTAGAAGTAGACAGGCCACAGGTGAAACTGACCTGATCCGGAGTTTCCTGCTTGACATCGTCAAAAGAGGTTTGTGTAAATAGTTCTTGACTGGCAGCTTCAAGAATGTCTAGGCGATAGGATGAACCTGAATTTCGGTGAAATAACTTCCCTAACACGGTATTCTCAATCATTTCCACGCGAACGGCACCGTTCCATCATGGCCCTTTCTTGCCCCTCTTCACAACTTTCACACTTGAAGAGAAGCAACCAAGATGTCATTCTACTAGTCTACTTCTTACTGTAAGACGGAACCACACGATTAATTACCAGTGAAAGCAGAGGTCCAAAGTATAACCGAAGAAACCTTTGAAACAAAGCGATATTACAGCCGCTATGGCAGTTTTTCCTCAAACACCCTGACACTAACCTTCTGAACAGGATGTGTTCGTGGGCGAATTACTACCATGACTCAATGATCCTTCACGAGGTGAACTCAATGGAGACAGAGCAGCATAGCTATGATCATCGCATTGTTCCATTCCCTCCAACTGCGAGATCATCTTACTGCAGAAAGTGTCCTCGGCAGCTGTAAAAGTTGACCCTTGCGACCCCGCTGAATCCAGTAGAAAAGCTGTAAAACTACTGGTTACCTTCAGGTAAAATTTCTTCGTCGTTGAGAAACGGTGAGAAGTTCTCCCAAAGGGAATTATCATCGGCCGCCAAAACCATACCCAAAGTTGGGTCGTCGCCATTTAGGAATGAAAAGTCCATATTCAAGTCGAAGTCCATGGCGGCCGGGCTGAAAACGTGGCTATGGTTTAGGCTATTCGTGGAATTTCTCACTCATTGAAACATTCCATAGGCGTAATGGAATGAAAGGAACATACCAAGTAAGATGGAATACGGTAGAAATTGAAAAAAGTGGACGACTTGGTGTATATTAAAGTGCAAGGCGGGGAATTAATGTTTATAGTTCCAACATGACGATCAAAACGCGATATAACGTCGGTATTTGAATGAATGGGATGCCCCGAGTGGGGGGATAGGCTCGGCTCAATGGCGATGAGGCCACCATGTGCATGGAATCAATAGGCAGAGGAGGCAATAGCCCTATACAACTGTATAAAGAAGAGGGACGAACAAATAAAAGCGTTTAGGTGTGGAGGTGAGGGATAGCGATGGTGGGTGAGAGAGCGAAGAAAGGACAAATACAGGTCCCCCAAATGAGGACATATCCATCGTATGATCTCGGCCTTGAACATCGAATATCGGCGACCAGAGATTTCTCGTCCGTCGTCGTGTACGGACGGACGGGAAGCTAGAATATCTTTCAAGAGCGAACATAATGGAGAACCCATGGAAAACCAAAGCCCACAAAGCTTTTCCCCCAGAAGAGAGTTCTAATTAGAACAATAGGAATTAGAATTATCGTCATCTCACGCGGTGCAGGCTGATAAGAACAGTTGCGTCAGCCTGATAGGGGCAGTTCCTTAACAAAGAAGAATTCCATCAAAAGTATTCTTAGAAAGACTAGGAGCAATAAAGTAGAAGACCAGCCAAAAACTGTTATCAGGAACTAGTCTGTTACTTGAGATCATTTTTAGCTCATTAGAAGAACTGCGCTAATATAGCCATCCGACGTCGACGTCACTAGTATACGTAAATAACGACGAGGGAAAGGGGCCGAACTGAACTCAGGGAGGCCTTTCTAATTTGTTTACAAGAGGCGTACCCAAGGGAAGAGGTTAGCAGTGGGTATTGAAAGTGTAAAGGTCTCCACCAGTTATCTCTAAATTGCATCATATGGGNAGAACTGCGCTAATATAGCCATCCGACGTCGACGTCACTAGTATACGTAAATAATGACGAGGAGGGAGGGGCCGAACTGAACTCAGGGAGGCTTTTCTAATTTGTTTACAAGAAGCGTACCCAAGGGAAGAGGTTAGCAGTGGGTATTGAAAGTGTAAAGGTCTCCACCAGTTATCTCTAAATTGCATCATATGGGTGCAAAGAGTGCGGTGTCAGTATCCCCACCCTTTTTCAACAGGGTCACACCTTTCAGTGGCGGTATGACAGCGCCGGCCGGGTCAGCAAACTGTCAAGATAATCAATCAACCAAGTAACAGTTAACGGTACGATACCGAAATCTGGTCCTGAGCCATATAAGGGCACCAATCGATGTTGAGGACCTTGTGGAGGCAGCTACTGATATTAGGGTGAGGGGTATGGTAGCGTGGGTACCTAAACCATAATTTCACCCTACCCTTAATTGGTACAACTTGCATTTATCGAAATTTTCAATTGTAATTCAGAATTACTTTGGATGTAAGTAGTTTTTTGGAGCTCAAGCTCTACTACTATATTCATTGGCCATGCTATCCCAGGTCATCGTGATGTTGACACTGCGCTGACGTCGTCACTTCCTATCGGAAGCGCCACACCGTTCACGCAGTCATGCATTCCCCTACCGTCCTTCATTTCCCTTCGGGAGAATCTTAGAAAGGGTACAAGCTGGATTACCCACCTTCTTCAGCCTTATCTTCCCATGAACTCCCCTAAAGCCACCTCAAAGAAGGAAAAACGCAGCCTAGTGAGAAAATCCTGGCTCTTTCACTCCCCCTCCATCTCCCTCAACTAGGAACCCTATTCAGCGAACGAGCCTGGGGCATTCACCAGTTTTCTGACTACAATCGAAATTTCTCACGAAGGCTGGTTAATCCAAAATGTACTCGAGCCTACCGTGCCCGCTATTCTTCTCACGCTACTCAAAAACCTCCCTTCTCGCTGAATTCTCATCGCCAAACGTTTAACGGCTGCCTAGCGGTACGTAAGTAATGATAGGCTATTGGGAGGTTTTTTCCGAGGCATTGAAAGGAATGACGTCAAGTTCGGTGTCAAAAGGACAAATTATTCTGTTGGAAATGAGATCGTCAATCATGAATCACTATTCAATAGAAATTGAGCGACACAATCATATAAAGAATGCAAATTAAAAAGTACAATCTGATTGGACTCTAAACAACAACATATTCAATAAGGATTGCTCATCCTGTCTCAAAACTTAATAATTTTCTGAAATTTGTGGACATTTTTCTGCCGTTCCACTCTAAACGTGAAGGTTACCGAGGTAGACCCTCATATGGACCTGTCAAGCTCGCCTTTTCAAAATACCGCGGACCAAGTAGACGCAGGCTTAATTACACATCAGGGCCAGGGTAGAAGGTAGGAATGGGCAGTTTTCCCGAAGGTAACACCAAGTCGGTATGATTTGCAGTAATGTAAGGCATGCACTTCAGAAGTAGGTGGATGCCTAGCACTGTACAGCACCTCATTCGAGACGATTTCAACGAATATTTCAAACGTTGAAACTTTGCAGATGGCAGACGACTCCCCTCCAGTGACTACTCATTACTAAAGGAAATGGATAGGAATAGGAAAATAACTGTATAGGTGAGCCTTTTTCTTTAAAATGGCGTCGATGATGGCCTAGTTCGTAGACAAAACCAGTCTTGAAGAGGCTCTTTGCATGAAATGTAATTTGGAGAATGAAGGGTCTGAAGTTGATCGGTTATGAATAGGAAGGAGCTAACTTGTTTTGGGGAGGACCAACCAGGGACAACACGAGGACGGGTTCAAGTCCCGATAGAGGCAAAAGTTTACCCACAACCAGCCATCCTTGTGAGGCATGGAATTAGTTTCGGTTGACAGTCCCACACGCGAAAGAACTTATTGTTAGCTTACACAATGGTGATGGAATCAGAAACTTGACGAGGTGACTCTACTTTATGGGGAATCATGAGAGGAAAAGTTTTATAACTGTAAGACATGAATGGAAACTAGTTCACAGGGGAGGAAAATGGAAAGTTGCAAGTGATAGGGAACATTTTCCGGGCAACAGACCTGCAGAACACTGATAAGCGGGCTTCAGGCAATCGATATGGTTAAATGTCTGAACGAGGAATGAAATGAAAATTCCGAAGAAGGGCTGTAAAACAGTTGAATTGCATTCACTTGCAAAAATGCAAATGCACGATACGATCGTAAAAGGCCAAAGGAACACAGGTGTGACCGTGATGAAACAAATGATGGCCTAAAAAGCGGGGAACTCGGACACCCAACACGGAACTTGTTTGAAAAAAAAAACAGTCGAACACGACTCGTCCTATGAAGCATCTCGGTCAATGTGTTCAAGAGCCTTTGGGAAAAAACCCTCCCGCACGCGATGTGAAACAACAGGACCGCAATGTGCAGCGGGGGAAAATCGATGAGCACGTTAGAGTGTGACTCACCGAAGCCTTCTACTACCACCAACATACTATGCACAGTTGCTGGGAAGGATCACTTGGACTAATCTATTCATGTCCGTAACAAAGTGGATCGTGGTCGGGACTGGACTGGACTCAAGGAGACTGGCGGAAAACCATATTCGCTGTTGGTCGAAGCCTTTTAGCGGCTGCAATTTGGTGTAGAATTACGCATCGGGGAGGTTGGACGTCTTTAAAGGGGAATAGCCTGTTCTCGAAAGGTTCGTGGGACAGTCAGGGATGTAATATAATGCTGCCAAGGAGCTCGAAACGGTTAGATTTAAAATCAAGATTCCAGCGAGTTACAACACGAACAACAGAAAAGGATGAACACGAACAGCATGAACATTATAGCTAGGGAGAGATCAGAGAAAACGGTAATTTACTCCGAGGAAGATGGGTGGTAGGTAAGAGCTTGAGCAATAAAACTCCAACATTGTGGCAACACCTGGTGAAGCCCGCTCCCGCTGCCACCTCTAGCTGCACACACGGGCGCTTGATAAGCAATTAAGAGGGGAGAGGATTGGGAAAGTAGACGAGTAACCAACCTGCACCTTAAAAAGGTTGATAAACTTATAAGCTAAGCTAAAAAGCTAAGGCTGGTTCCCTAAGGAGCGCAATCAAGTGGAAAACCCAGAAACTAGATCGGCCTAGGAGTAATTAACTTTTATATTCTGAAATTCATCTTCTTCGTTGGATCCAAAGATCTACTACTCTGAACCTTTCCTGATCAACCTCCATCAGTAGGTCTTGTGAAGCTCTAAGGATTCAGACAAACCAGTCAATAAACCATCCCCCTCCGCCAACTGCGGCAGACATTCAGCGACAGACATCGGCTGGTTAGCAATTGATGGGATTTTACACTGTTTACTGGCAGATGGAATACCTTTCAGGCACGACGGCATAAACATGCTGCTGTCAACTGCCGTCACCCATTACCCATTATAAACTAAATAATGTAAGCATTCAACTGCATAGTGAGCCTAATTGGGATCGGATATCAATAACGGGGTATGCTGAATGAGGATAGGAAGGTGGTGGGGTAGCTGAGCAGGGATAAGACGGTAGTGGTGGTTGTTGATTCCCTTGCTGACTCGGTTGCATGATCATGTGACTACTGCACCAGTGCGCCTGGCCTGGCAGAAGTGCCAACTCATCGCACCCATAGGGTGAAGTGGTAGCTGGTAAAATCTCTCCCTGGAAGTAGGTAAAAAAGTCACAAGAATGAAAGTGAATTGGGAAGGAGAGGGTAAATTCGATAATCAGCAACGCACGATTACGGTATTTTACGATTTCTGAAATTCAAATTTTAGAGATGAATTAAATGGAAATTTTGTACGGAGCTGTACGGAAGGCAATCAATAAATATCTAGCGATACGAATCACCGTCATAAAAAACTTTTTGTGGTTGTACTCTGATTTTGG